CGCGCGCCCGGGCAGCGCCAGGGTGACGGGTGGGGGGAGGGGGAGGGAAGAATCAGTCTTCACAAAAATTGCAAAGGTACCGAGAAACACAGGTCTAGAGAAGCTGCCCATGCTGGATCCAAAGCAGTTTTGCCCACTACAGATCAGATCAATGCACACCTCTAAATTTTCAATTCCTTGTCTGCCCCCGTACAAATCACACTGGCCATCTCTATGGTGATACTAGGGCTTTTAATGGCTCCGGGATCTTGCCTGCAAAATCTCAGACTGCTATTAGATGTCAGCAAAGAGACAGAGAAAATGTTCTTTGCCGCCACCTCGTGGTCCCTTGTCTCTCTGCAGCCCAGATCTGGTGGCCTAGTTTAGATGGAAAATTTGGTATCTGAACCCGCCAACCATCTGCAAGCAAAGCCTGTGATCTTTGCCACAGATCTACTTTCCCATCACAAGTTAATAGTTAATTTGTACAGATTTCAAAAAGAGATTTTTTTCTTTTTCTTTTTGCCGAAGGGATCAGGGGTCTTCCCTTCACGAATCGGGACCCATCGCTTCTTCCCAAATCCTTACCTGCATTTTGTCCTCTGCAGTCTTGTGGATTCCAACATTCATGGTAAATCTGTATGGATGTTCCGCAAAAAACGAGGTGACTGGGAAAGAAAGAAAGGCAAGGAGAAAAACAGAGTCAGGAGAGATTTTAAAAGGGATGGATATAGAAAGGGAAAGGAAAAAAGAAGAGAGCGATAAAAGCAATAGAGGAAGTGACTGACAGAATATTTGCAAGGTTATAATAGAAGGCTTTTTTAAAAAAAAGAAAAAGAAAAAATGATGCTCCTCTGGGCTTCTCCACGCAAGCCGACCCCTCCTCAGCAAAGGGCGATATCTGGAACTTTGGGTCGCAATTCTGGGAGGAAAAAAGAGCGCCTCTGAACACACGCAGAGTGCAATTTTAGGAGAGGACTGGACAGGCACAACCCAGTTCGTCACCCGTTGATCAGAAGGGAACAGGAGGAAAAAGAAACGAACATGAAAGGATTAAGCCACAAGATTTTTTTTTAAGTTGGCGGGGGGGGGGGAAAGGGCTTGCAAAGATGTGCAGAAAGCCCTTCCCTCCTGCCTGTATAGGAGCACCTACGACGTAATGCCCGCCCTCCCCCAAGCCGATAATGGAGACCGAAACGGAAAAAAGGCCGTCCCAGAAGCAGAGGGCGATGCAACAGCGAGGACGAGATTCCTTCGGAGCATGTGCAAAGCGCACTTCCTTCCCCGAATATCACGCGCAGCGCCCCTTCCCTTCCTAACAAGGGCCGAAAAGACCACGGAAGCGTCTCGGGAGGGCGGCCGCGACTCGGAAAAGGCCTCTGAGCATGTGCAAAGTACCTCTGCACCCTTCAACTCCGGGTGTGGTTTCCAGGCAGGAAGCCCTCTCTTTCAAGAAAGACGAGCGACAGAAACGGAAACGCCGAGCGAGGGGCGGGGGGCGAATAAAAAGCAAGCAGAAATCGAATCTCTCAAGGCAGCTGCTCAGCCCAGCCCTCTCAATTCCTTGGGTCTTTAGGAGGAATGTCTACATTGCAAACTTAGACCGGTGAGGCGCTCATTGGCTTCCCCTCCCGGGGAACCCTGGGAGTTGCAGTTCGCCTGGCCGGG